GTTATCTCCATACTGATTTATACCTGCCTCTGGAGATTCCCCTTACTTGCATCTGAAGAAGTGAGGTTCTTACCCACGAAAGCTTATGCTGCTAGTCTTAAAGTGCCACAGGACCCTCTGTTGCTTTTCTCTGACTAAGTGTAATTTAGCTTTAAACTATTTTTTTTAAATTAGCTTTTCAGGCAATGCATTTTTTTTTAAATGTGGGTTAGTCAATTTAACGTTTTAGTGAAAACTTTATAAACCCGTCAAGAGATTTACATATGAAAAACCAGCTACTGAGCAGGAAAAAAGGTATATTTCCAAATTTTATTTTATAATAAATGTAAATGCCTCCTTTTGAGTGAAATAGTTTTTTTTTTAAATTAGAACACCTCACTTTGCAAGCGTAAAGGCATAGAACAGAAACTACTGTAATTTTTGTTTTAACGGGGAGAGTCTAAAATTCTTACCTGTAAATGATGTATTTTAGATTCATTATTCCGCAGCATTTCCTTCTGTCTTTCAATTTCTATTTCAAAGCTACAAATCTGATTATGTAAAGTTTGTATACTCTTGTTCTTTTCCAAACTTTCATTCTGGAGCATGGCCACCTGGAAAAAATTCTACAATTACTCCTGCCAAAACTTGTGAAAAAATACCTGCAACTTCATTTTTTAAAACTGTCCTAGAGTTTTCCCCTTAAGCTCAGAAGAGAGATCCTAGCAAAATCTCTCTCCATGTCTAGAAGACTACCAGAAAAATCTGAAGTTTCTAATAATTTCCCCCCCACTCCCACAGTGTTGTACTGATACAACCTGACCTAATAAATGAGAAAAAGTGATATGCAAAAGCAGCAATAAATCTTACTTATAAACACAACTGTTTATTTGGGTCACTATTTAATAGGTCAGTGTCCAGGCTTTCGACTCATTCCCTGACATGGAGGTGGTTAGCTATTCAGAGGAAGTAGCCTATTTAGTTCCAGATTGGGGTTGGTGATGCTAATATTGCTTAAAAAGAAATGCCAAAGAAAAGTAGCACTGAAAACGCCTATGTAGGAAGGAGAAAGATTTAGTAAATACTACTCCCTCAATCTAAGTCATTGAATCGAGCTCACCAAGTATGGTAATTGTCTGGGAATGGATGGCTGTGTACTACTAAAGAAAGTGGTCAAAGCAGCTCAACTAATATTACTGTAGATGGAATCTGTGCAGTCCAGAGCAAATCCAAAAGCGCCTACTAGCACCCAAAGAGACCAAGAGGATGCACAGAGTGTTAGTGATGATATTCTTTTTCTGTCTGGTAACACCTTTTCATAAATCTTATTTGTTTGTGACTGGTTTTCATTTTAAACCATCAGCCATGTTGTTGGAATGCTATGGGGAACATCTAACAGGCACTGCAAGGGGCGTATATAAAAGAGTGTCAGCAATCTATTCATCACTAGTTTTGTTGCTTGCATGTGCTACACTTTTACACAATTTCCTTCTTGCAAGAAGTGTGCATGATCTATAGGAGAGACACAAGGTAGGTGAGGTAATATCCTGCGACCAACATGGCTACAATTACACTGCATATATTATCTGTAGGTTATTCAACAAGAAAACTAAAAGTATCTGACATCTAGACAATGTTTGACTCATTACATCTCAGCATTGCTTCTGATAGACGGACGATACGAAACACCATTTTTGATCCAATTAAACAAATGTGAAAGTTCCTCTTTCAGACTAATTATTTTACACCACATTCAAACAATAAAACTAAACAACCCCAGACAACCTCTAGTGCTTCTCAGGTTCAGACACCCTTGACTTATATCATAAGGTGGGCACAACTCTCGGTGCACCACCACTTCTGCTGTTTTAAAACCTTGTTTCAGTATTTTCTGCTGTTGTCACTTGACCGCCAGGCCAAGAGTCAAGAACTAGATCTTTACAAGGCAAGATAAGAAAAAATGATTTCCATTCCCACAAAAGTCACTGAAGACCCATACAAATTAACAGTGCTGAAATCTTAAGGGGACAAGATCCCACCTAAAAGTTATGGATGTTGGAACAAGATCCTGTACCTCATTTCTATAAGGATACAAGAGGGCCTCGTAGAAATAAGGCATGAAGCTGATTTTTTTCCCTTGCATTAAAGAGAGAGAGAACTGCCAGTCATGGAAGGAAAGCAAGCCTAGTGTATTGGGGATATTTTTCAAGAACAGTTTAACCATGTGAAAGTTTGCCTACCATATAAATCAGACCACCTGGGTAGCTACTCTAATTTGTGCATCCAACTTTTCCATAATGAATCAGAGTTCTTTACTTATCAGTGACATTTCCATTCCCTTTCTTTCATTATTTCCTCTCCATACCCCCAGATCACAAGCCAGTTGCACTTGTGCTGCTGGTATTATATTTCCATTTTTACGTAAGGTACAGTATATGGCCGGTCTTGTATTGAGATTTTCCATGCAGTTTACAGGGCCATATCCTGCGGTCCTTAGTCAGACAAACCTCTCATTATACCAAATGTAATCTGAAAGTAACTCATGCATGAATAGAGATAAATAAATATACAGGATTTAAATTTTATTTGGCTTGTGCCTTTTGAATTTGAGTACATCAATTTTAAAATAAAGGAGCACAAAAAGAAACAAAACTATTATCAGTATTTTATGTACTGTACCTGAAATCAAGAATCATGAATTTCTTCACTTACTAGTCATATTTCAATGTTACAGTGGATGTTATTTTGCTGTCTTCCAAAAGCATTTAATCAATTAAGGTATTATTTTACTATTTCAGAATTCTATTATGGGAAACCAATTCACACTCCCAAATAAGAAATGAAAACATTTCTCATCCCCTACAAGATTGGATTAAATAGTTATCTCCACATTTAGATCACATGATATGGCTTTTGTATTTAAACATACATAGCAGGATTTATTAGAGAAGCTACAAAATTTGGATTGAGTCACGATTCCCAGCATCCCAAAATTGCAGGGTATTTGGATTCAGGCTTCTAGTTTGTCCCCACTACAAAGAAAGACTCAGGTCATGAAATTCAGATTCCCCACTACCCAAACTTTTTATTTGATTTAAATTTGTTTCATCTCTCTGCTTTTTGTCAACAGCAATATTCACTTCCTGAGGTTATCATTTAGCACATGCTTTGGAAGGGACAATATACAGCAAGCCTGAAGGCTTTCAGTTGGTACACCATTTAGGTGTTCTGTGTCATCAAAGAATCATCCTGAATGGGAGCAGTTAACTTCTTTTATTTCCTTCCATTCAAATCCAGTTAAGTACATAGGATGAAATTCTGGCCTCACTGAACTCAGTGGACGAAACTTCCATTGGCTTCAGTGAGGCCAGGATTTCACCTATATTCTTCAGCAGAAGTTCTCTCTCTGCCCTAACGCATTCAGTGCCAAGAATTACCTTAACTGGAAGGAGAGGACACTAAGTCACAATCCATTTTCATTACACCTCTTGACAATAAAATCACTGACATGTGATGTGTGGTTAGCTATTCTGGTAACTTGGCACTGTCCTGGGATTTCCAGTGATTCAACTCATTTATTATGTATAGGAAGAAGTTTACAAAGCAGGAAGTGCAAAAAGACAACAGTGATAAGCAATTAAGACTGAAAAAAAACTGCACTGAGGCGTTTATTTTCTTACTACTAAAAAAGAAAAAAAGATATAGAATTGCTCAACAGTTTTTAAATGATACAGCACATATCAGTGCAATTACAATTCTTTTAAAGTGCAGTATGGAAAATAAGAAAAATATACTATAAATCACAGGGAAGAGGCTTTCTTTAATTATGTAAAATAAATTTTATAGCTTGACTCAAATTAGCAAAAAAGGAAATAAGAATATGAACCTGTATTTGTTAAAAAACTGAAACATTTACTACACCTAAACTACACCACTAAATTATGGGAATTTCTTCTTAGATTTGAAAGTGATGGTAAACTGAGATGTTGTTCTCCTCTGCAGTGAAACTAAAATTTACACAAAGAAATACATCTGAATCCTAGAATCCTCCTGCGCAAAAGAAATTGTTTTCTTGTTGGGCTCTGAAGAAAAATGCTAGCACAACAGCATAACTGAAGTTATAGGCTTACATCTCCATTTGCCAGTGGGCTCTCATCTGGATTGCTTTACCTTTCTCTTACTTTAATATATGCCTTCACTTGATCCCCTCCCACTCCAAGACAGGGTAAAGAGGCTCCGAACTTTTTTACTTTTAGATTTAGGAGAATTTGTTCAGAAACATTGGATTAAAAATAATTCAGTATTTGATTAAACTATCAAAATAATGTTTTTATTTAAAACACTGAACCTCTTAAGACCTGTTTAAAATATGTTGACTCATTTCACTATTGATTGGATGCAGCACTGACACATTTTAAATTCAAAGCCTACGAAAGGCCTGCGTTCTAAACAAAACCTAAATGCTCTAAATTAAATCATTATTCAAAGGAGTTGAAGCTGTTAGGGAGGTGATCTGCAGCATCTGGTCTCCCAATAAATTCCAGCCAAGTCCCAAAAACTCTTTAAAGACAAGAGTTCCAAGGGAGCATTGCACAACATGAACTTAGTTAGATCCAGCATCAGAACAGAAACCAGCCTGCCTGAGAGTAACAGCATGTCAATTAATAAAAGTCTCTTCAGGCCAAGAAGCTTGGAGAGCTCTTGATAAATTTAAAATAAAAATGAAGCCGGTTCAGTATGTGGAGTTTTCTAGGATCTGATCTCCAGAAAAATATACAGGTAGATGCAGCTCCTAACATTGCAGTACTTTTCCTAATGGTCTCTTTCATAAGAAAAGGAAATTGAAGGAGAAATTTAATGTCAGCTGGTTTGATAACTTAAATATTAAAATACTAAATTCATAGCAACACGTGAATAAAAATTACATATTTACTCGTGAAGCCATTCTTATTTTATTTTAAGAAAAGTGATGTTACACTGACTCATTTTACAGCTTTTTGAGCCTACTAGTGCTTTAGCTGTATTTCCAAACAGCTTCTGAACAAAAGTGTTTTCCTCTATTTTTATAGAATTTTAAAAAAATTAATGAAAATTAAAGTGAGTAGAAGATATACCTTATTTTCTAGAGAATTACTCCATTCTTTCAATAAATTTACATGCTGCACTGCTGAGCTGGCTTCATGTGCTTTAATTTGCTGATTTGTTCCCTGTGACAACAAAGAATTTATACATTTTAGCCAATTTCACTTTTTTAAAAAAACCAATAATATAACACAAGAATATAAAACCAGCCCTACATATATTTTGGTACACAGATGTACTTTACAAAAATATAAACAGAGGGGAAATCTACTTGGGAACTTATGAAAAAGTGAGAAATACATTTAAAATCAAGTGTTTTATCCAATTGCTGTATATCTCCAATGCACTTATTTATCAGAGGAAACAAAAATGGAGAAAAGATTTACAAAATGAATGGTTTTAGAACCATCTCCATAATTTTTATACTAAAGAAATCACAAAGCAAGTCATATAACTCAAACATCTGATTCCATAAATAATAGGTTTAACCATTTTATAAGTTACTGTAAAGTTTCCATTGATGTGAATAGGAAAGAAAAACAGTTAAGGTAAATTTATCATCACTGGAAACTGCCAATTTTGTAGAATCTGCCGACTAAAATAGTTTACAGTGGCTAATTTGCCATTATACAAAGTTAGCAAGACACATCCATTGTTGCTTTATGATGTTCAGATTTCCTGCCCCTTCACAATCTGCAAATGTCGGTACAAATAACCACTGTAAGTTTACAAAACACACATAGATAATATACAGAGTACATAAGATGCAGATCATGTTACCTTCTACTTCACACTATACTTCTGCAAATGTTTTGCAATGCAGTTTATATCTGTTTAGATGCTAGATATGTTGCAAGCAACTGGAAAAGTTTCAATGATCTTCAATGTATATACTCTATATAAAATATTCAAAAATATATATGTGGATATATGTACATATATACACACATATACATACATAAAAAGAATGAACAGTGATACATAAGACATAACAGTGGGCAGTGCTACATCATTAATTATTTCTACAGTTGAGAGAGCAACTGTGTGTTTAAATTGTTGAATGCTTTCTTTTTTACACTGGCAGAATATTAAGGGCCTGATCGAAAGTCCTTTGACATTAATGGGAAAAGACTCTCATTGACTTCAATGGGACTTAAAACAGGTCTTAAGATATCAATGGGAAAGAAGGTTTATAGGAGTGTTGCACACGTACACAAAGATCTAGTTTCGTGGGTCACCGTGAGCTTCAAAATTATGACATTTAATTTGATAAATTCCGTTTTTCCGGTCAACAGCTTTTGAATTTTTAGTGTAAAACTGTCAGAATTCGCTGACACTCTCAGATACATGGTATGAAAAGTAAGATATTGCAAATATGGAAATAACAGTGTTGAAACTATACTCAAGTTTTTTCTTACTTTGTGGTGACGTCTAGGATTTAAACTGTAATTTTTATTAATTCTATGCTGTGGTTTGACTATGCACCTATATGCACACACACATATATACATATGTATATATGAATGTACATAAAATAAACATTCTAAGTGGGCCCACCTATTTTTAATCATAGTGTATATAGTCACACACACAAACAGAAGAAATTAAACAAATTTAATTTGGGGAAAAATTAAATACTTCCATAGAACAGCTGAAATTACTAGACAGCTTGTGGAGAACAAAAAAAATGACTATTTTTCTCTTATTTCAAAGAAGAGAAAAGTTAAAGTTCTTAATGTAATTATGTCTTCTGATCTCAGACATCTGTAACTGGCTAACTGAAATCCAAAGATATCGCCAGTATGTGTATGTGCTTTTTATAATTTTACATATATAAAAATATATGCAAAAATGAACACCTGCTGCATAGTCTTAATCACTCATGCAACTGGATGAATGTTTCTTAACCAAGAGTAGAGACGTCCAGAACTTTCATGTCAAAATGTTAAGTTTTCTTATTGCAGACTTTCATCAATTGGGAAGTATAATTGTTATATACTGACCTGAAAAGTGCAGCCATAACGCTTAAAACTACAGGTACTTGGGGCATTAATACATTCTGACAAATGTGCATTCAACTGCAATAGGAAAAAAATGTGAGTTTTGGCAGAAAACGTTTGCATGATAATGCTCAGAACATATAAAGGGCACAGATTATCAGATTTGTATTGTGTGCCATTTGTAAAACATACAGTACATGTGTGTATATTATCTCCACTCTGACTCAGAGTGCATAAACTGTATATACACATGTAACCACACGTACATGCCAATACAATATACAGAGAGACACATTTAATATACAGTGAAACCTCCACTGAAGACCATTCCTATAGGCAACCCCATTTAAAAACAAAACAAAAACAAAAACAAAAAACACTTTAAAGAAACCCAAGGCTTTCCATACATTTTTATTTGATTTTTAATTAAAGGTCAATCTTTACTTGACAAATGATTTTTGCTGCTGTTGGGTAGTCACTCAAGACCAGTTTCACTGTAGTAACATACGACTTTTCTAACTCTAGTTTCATTATGAACAGATTGTCAAAACGTGACATGCAATTCTCAATATCAGAATTTAAAATAAAACAAAACTAAACAATGAAGACTGTAAACAAATACTGCATGAAACAGACAAATACTTTATATCAGGGTGTAGCTGAGTCACATTTATAATGCAGTACACAGGATTCAATGTTCTAAAGTAGGAAAAGACCTGTATTTTGCACAGATCCAATATTCTGAATGATGATAAACATAGAAAATAATTTGTCCTTTAAAATAAAATCACAGAAGTATATACGAAGAGCCATAATGAAATGCAGCCATTTTTAGGGGACACGGCAGCAGACAGATGCAAACTGCCTAAGAGCTGGAATGAAGGGCCATTTTGTAAAGGACACCATGACAAACCTCACCTCTTCTGACAAGTGCCTTAAGACCTTTATTTCCATACAGAGCAGAGAGGACCTAGGGGCCAGATCCTCACCTGGTGTAAACTCTTATACCTCCACTGAGTTCAAGATATTTAAAAAGACCCACACACAGTAAGCCCTCTGGTACTCAATTCATCCACCTCCAGAAAAAGGCCTGAACGGATCCTGCCTGCTTATGAAACTGTGGTGCTAAAGAAACAAGGTTTTTCCAATCTAATTTTGAAATGTTTAACTCATCCCTCTCTGGCATATGCAACATCTACTTTGTTTTAAACACTTACTGTAGAAATTCACAATGAAAATTCAAAAGAAACATTTCAGAAAAAAAATTAAAATCAAATAAGAAAAAGTACATGTGCTATACGAGATTTAAATGGGGGCACTGATTCTTCAACTTCCTCAAAACTAAGGATTGTGCCAACCAGTAACCATTTACACGTATTAAGAGTTGCTGTATTTCTATAATAAAATATCATGTTCACTTTTTGTACACTATTTGTACACTATTGAGAATGGCACAACACAATTTTCCCAAACTGTTAGGCAGCCATTTGCCTATATCACCTTCGAATGGCTGTCCTTAGTTACCCAACTGGGCTTCAGATTCATTTTCTTAACATCAGAAAAAAATGAAATAACAATCAACAAAATGCTGCAGGGATAAGATGGCAGCTGGTTAAAGTCCAACCCTACCAACAATTTTTAGAATCCAATACTGCCAACCCTTATCATCAAGCCTCGTGCTTATTGATATGAGTTGACCTATTGTTTTTAATGGGACAATTCACAGCAGTAAGGACTAAGCACTTCATTCTTAAGTCCCTCACTACTCAGGACAGCATTTAAGCATTTCTTATTGACTTCAGTAGGATTTAAGAACATGTATAAGTGTTATTATGAAAAGGAGTGCTTTCCTGAATCAGGATCTCAGTTGGTAAATATATACTGGCAGAAATGAGCCCCAAAGGTGGCCCTCCACTTATGTTATTAGACAGATGCCTAGATCATCTTCTCAAGAGCATAATGTTTATGCACAAGTATGCACAAGGCCTACTATACATTTTAGATTGCACATTCCTTGGGACAGATACAGTTAGAAAGTGCCTAGCACACTTTGGGCACTAAATATGATTATTCACTTATTGTAACACTAAAATGATGTATTCCTATATCAGGAAAACATAACCCAAAAAAATCTAATGGAGTATCAGTGAAAAAGGATACCTCAAAAAATGAGTTTAAAAAAATGAATATTTTAAGGAGTGCTGGAGACAAATACGTGCTCCCCATTCTAGATCATACAAAAGGATTTATTTTTAGAAAAATATGCACATCGGCCTTTACAGATACTACTAACGGATCAAATAAAGGAATACATTCAGACACCACAAGATACAAATGAAATTTATCGGCTCAAAATATTAACTGAATTTTCTACATATGTTAGAAGCTTTAGTAGCTTGTTGCACCTGATCACAAGAAATGCCATACTGGAACAGACCAAAGGTCCATCTATACCAGTATCCATTCTCTAACCGTGACCAGTACTGGAGGCTTCATGGGAAGGTTCCAACCTCCCATGATGCAACTAGCAAACATCAACAGGAAATTTCTTCTTTATCTCAGTTATGGATAAGTTTTATCCCAATCGTGTGAAATACAGACACTAAATATTAAATCCTTTCTTGAATAAGATTAAACTATTTACTTAACATTTATCCTGCGGCAGTGAGTTTCACAGTGTTTCCTTTTAAACGATTTAAACTTGGTGCCTATTAATTTCATCAAAAGTGCCCTCTTATCCTTGTATTGAGTAAGCATTTAGCTGATTAAGCATCAGCTAAATCGGTTTAACTGAAATATTTCTAAAGCATCTATACCAGCATGATATCCAAGTGTCAGGCCCTTCATTCTCCTTCTTTGCAAATTTAACAGTCCTAACAATATTTTTAATCTCTCGCATGGACCAACTCCACACAACAGCTGTTCAGTATCTGCTATAATCTTTTCTGAGATGAGGAGACAAAAATCAAAACAGCATTTAAGGTCAGGATGTACCTCTGGCTTGTATGCCATATGAGACAGCTCTAATGTCAGTATATGCTACTATATTTTAGATTTCTCATTCTATTTGAATATTGAGACTTGAAGAATACACGCTGCCTAACACTATCCAAAGGTTCTGCTCAACTGGCCTCGATAAGTGCTTCTAACTCAGTTTTCATTGAGAGAGAAAGCAGGAAAGATAAAAGCTAATCTTTTTTGACACGCCATGTGTAATAAATACAGAAAATTAAGAAAGTAATTTCTGAAAGATAATTTCCTAAGAAATCACTAAAAAAATTATTAAAAAATTATCACACTTAACTGTAGTGGTAGATAAGCCTTTTCTTTAGATCTCACATGGTAATAAGGAAATGGCTTCTGGCAAAATTCTTGCGAGATCTTACTAATAAAAGTTCTAAGCTGAACGCTGTTGAATAGGGATTTATTTAATATTTCAGCACAACTCTGGGCATGACTTCTTACCTCACTCCTCAAGAGTGATGTAACACTGCATTTATGAGGACATGAAACCGCGACAGAGGGGCAGTCTGTATCTTCATGTTTCTAAAAGAAAAAAGAAAAAAAAGCAAATTACAATTTATACTTTATCTATATTTAAAATTACAAACCATTTTATAAAACAGGACTTGCCTGAAAAAAGAAGTAACTTACCATGCTATAATTAAATATATATATTTACATGGTGCTATACAGTGTGCAGTACAGTTAACATTGCAACATTTGTATTTGTACAATGTTTGGAAGGAACAAACACAGATGTTACACTTTCAGTTGATATGTATTTCTCAACGGTTTTTGATTCAGAAAAATAAGGGATTTATCATATTTTCCTATGGAAAGAAGAGCAGTTTCCATCATCCTTTATCAATGAAACCTCAATAAAATCTAAGTTCTCTACCCATGAACCATGTAGGTGAGTGCGCATTATTGGAAGAGAGAATAATTGCCAAGATGATATTCCTTCCAATACCACCATACAGTGCATTGGAAAGCTCTTCAGATATTTATGCTTCTGAATGGCAGAGAACCCTGTAAATCCATCTACTCGTATTCACTCTTTTGACCATCCTTTAATTTTGAGTCTCTTTACCATTTGATACAGAATTCTTGCACTATACATCAAAATACTGAAGCTTATTTAAAGCTTCTTTTGATCAAACCACAGTGCATTGTGTGTGTTCATCTCCTACTTTACATCCATTTCTCACTATGTCAGACAGGTCTAGAAGACTAAGGGATAGACTGAAAGTTTACTCTTAGCCCACAGTAGAGGGCACCATGTAAATCACTGACAATTCTCTCAGGTTCCCACCTTGCTTCAGGTGGTGAGTAATCCGCTATTGGTTCATGGCCCAAATCCATGCTCCCTGAAATTAATGGGAGTCTTTCCAATGTCTTCAACACACATTTGATTTTGGTCCCTATTCCAGGAGTAGAATACTACTACTTCTATTTTGATCAGCAGAACTCATTCTTCGCCCCTGGGCACCCACTCTCCAGGGAGGCTGCTCTCAACTCTTCCATATGATGTGAGATGCAGGTTGCACATAATCTTGACTTACATTAGGCTAGGATAACAAGGTTTTCAGAATAGCAAAGGCAGCACGCAAACCCATTTTATAGCAATTTTAAAAATTCTCTTTTTCTGTAGAATACTTTGATGCTTTAATAATAAAATACAATTTTCACTTCTATTTTTGCTTTGAAGAAGAAGCAATTTTGTCTGCCAGAAAGACACAGTGGACTGTAGAACATGTTGTACTGTACCAAAAGCTTTTTGTTTGCTTCAAATAAAATAAAATAAAATTGTGTTTAGAAATGAATTCACCTAGGGAGATAAAGCATTGCAGTATAGACTAGACAAATACTTGCAATTAAAATTTAAAAAAGCACAAGTCCATATGACTATCTAAATAGTCTGTCAGCCGCAAAGGGGATTTCCTACGCTGCAGGGCAGGCAGATTCTATGAAGACGAGAACCGTACATGAAACAAGAAAAATTATTTTTGTTTCCATTTGCATACCTTTGGTTTTTTCTTTGTACAGTCTCGAAAAAATGTTTGTACTGCTTTTCATTTTCTGTTCAAGTCCCTGAAATGCCTGCCTGACTCATTAATGTGCTTATAAACCTGATGGTCTGCACAGGCCAACAGAGATGAACTTAAGCTCAGGGTGAGCAGATGGATTGCACAAAGCAAATCTCTCTTTCATCTAACTGAGTGGTCTGGTTACAACCCGACTAAGTCTTGGTACTCAAGTATAGTCAGGTAATGTTCCAAAATAAACCCAAATTTATCAGCATTTGTATAATCTCACAGACTACATTCTTCCAGGCTTTTAAAACAATGTCGGCACAAAGATATTTACTGCTTGATCAGTGGCTGATCTCTGCTCCTCCAGGATTTTAACGCTGTGGCTATTGTTGCGCTCCTGAAACACCAAAACCACCACGACTGGAAGCTGGTCCTACATAGCAAACTATTAGTTTCATTAATATTTTGAATATAAGAACACCTAACACTTTTGATTTGCTGAACTCCTACAACAAGCAGGCATTGGTTTAATTCTACAAAGGTTTCTGCTCTCCCCCTTTTTATGCTTCAGTGCTTCATTTTAATCACAATTTTCAACAGAACTGAGATGTTTTTGCATTCCCCTCCACTAGTCACAGAGCATTTGCTTGCCATCTATAACACCACTTGCTACATCCGAACACTCTTGTCATTTTTCTTTAACCTTACAGATCCTTTCAATTCTGCAGGATAAGCTCTTAAAACTTTAATTTGAGATCTATAGATTGTTAAAATAAAATGTTGGATGAAAAGCAAGGGAAGGTTTTTCCTATCTGTGCAATTAGCCTGCTCCTACCATCTGTAATCAGACAAATTGGAAACTAATCCTTAGTGACCATAGGCTCTCATGGGGACAAGACACTTCTTGGGGATACCCCAATGTCCAGGTCAGTAGCAGCTGGTACAGGTATAGGAAGGACTGTACTTACCAACTTGCTCTTGTTAAGAAATTTATAAAGAAGCAAAATACGAAAAGGACTGGCTAACACCTCAGATTTTTACTACATGTAAAATTAGACATCTCAGTATACAACTCAATTTAGTATGAAGTGCATTCCCTTTGTGGACCCTGAAAAAATACTATGGTCTCTGATGAAGTTACACTTTTTAGAATGCTCTCATTTTATCAAGTTTTGGGGAAAATACTTGCTCAATTTTTTTTCCTCGCCCCCAGAATTACAGAAAACAGTATATGTAAATCAAAAATAACTGCTGGTCTTGTTAAAGATAGGAATTAAAATATAAAAATACAACTCTTGAAAGATTGAAGTCTAATAACATAATTATAGACAAAAATGCATAACTAAGTTGTTTCAGGAAATGCAGCAAGAGAAGCTGAGAAACTTCTGCTTCTGTTATTCAAATCTCACTGTCATAAGACTAGACCTTTTAATTTTTCTGCTCCCTGAATAAAAAAAAAAAGATATTCAGGAACCCAGGCTGCATTCTATATGAACATATTTAAAGAATCACTAAAGATTTACTCTACAGACAGAATATTTAACCCCTAAAAATTAAGTGCAGAACGGCTTTAGACATCTCAATTTGACTATATCCCCAACAACTCCAACCTACAGATAGCAGACTTTCAAGTTTTCCTTTAACAGACAGTTTTGAGAGCTGAGTGAACAGAAGGAATGATCAGCTATATAAAAATAAGTATAACCAAAACTGTAGCACTGTTGTAACCTCTCTCTCCCTAGTTACAATGATGTACTTAAGTTATCTTATCTTTGTTAACTTTTTAAAAAAAACAATCGAATCAGTAAAAAGAACAGGAGTACTTGTGGCACCTAAGAAACTAACAAATTTATTTGAGCATAAGCTTTCGTGGGCTATAGCCCACTTCATCGGATGCATAGACTGGAACACACGGAAAGAAGATATTTATACATATAGAGAACATGAAAAGGTGGAAGTAGCCATCCCAACTGTAAGAGGCCAATCAATTGAGATATCTTCTTTGTGTGTGTTCCATTCTATGCATCCGATGAAGTGGGCTGTAGCCCACAAAAGCTTATGTTCAAATAAATTTGTTAGTCTCTAAGGTGCCACAAGTACTCCTGTTCTTTTTGAGGATACAGACTAACACGGCTGCTACTCTGAAATCGAATCAGCATATCTGAATAAAAGGAGTATTTTAGAAAGTCATCCACTGGTTCATATCACTTACTAAATCTGGACTAACATGGGAGAAAGGCATCAGAATCTCTCTATCGTGTAGACTGTATATGACATCTGCCTTTCTCCCATATTTTATTTATATATTTGCCTCTGTATAGTAATGCCTACAGGGTTAGAGGCTAATATGCCTCTATACAAATCATATTAAATAAATCACCAATGCCTCCTGTTAACCCACATATATTTGCTTTGTATTTTCAAAAATACACCCTTGTGAGCTTTGTCCCCATCTAACAGTAATAGCTAAAAACAATTACTAGAAAGTGGAAAGTTCTAGCCATTCTCTAAGAGGTCCAGGGAGTTGTAGACATGGAAACATTGCACAAATATATAAAAAATAAATACAGTGAATATATATCAGAGTGGGCTCAATATCATAAGATGCAGTGTGTGATAACATACAAAGCCAAGCCACAGAACCTCCACAAATTCTGCCACGCATGACCAGAATGGTAGCCCCAATCTCTAGCCTATAGTTCTGTCCCACTTATAACACACTGCTTACCAGACACCCTACTCTTGGACCAAAAATAATAATAATGCTTTCTAAATATGATCGCATATGGTACATGATATGCAGAGACAGTAAGTATTATTGAATTTGATGTCATGTTCATTTTCTTCCTTGCCAGTTTATACAAGAGTATCTAATTCCCTGCCACAACTGCAAAGGTGACGTAAAGCTGTTTTGGATGAGACAGCACCCAAACAAAGGAAAAATGATAATGTGCTATTCCTTTGAAACACATACTCCTGCTTGATGGTATATTGTTAGGATGGTAGATTTGCACAATATACCAATTTAAATAGGATGGAATAGAAAAATGTATGCCAAAAAATTACTTCAGTATTGCAGTTGTTTCCTGCATCATGTGAAAAATGTACTTTAAAAAACAACAAAACAACAACAAAAAACTTGGTTCTTTCTATTTCTGGCATTCAAATGTTTCCTGTTCAATTTAATTTATACTTGGGTTGTAACAACTTCCTCGACAGCAAGTATATCTTGACAGTTAGAATATTTTACTTTTGAATTCAAAAGTGCTGAAGCAAATTTTGCCTTATTTAAGACTGAAAGCCCAATACCTCGGATGGTTGCTGAAAAAGAAGCATGTGAAAATTGGTCATTCTACATTACATGTAAGATCTGATTTTAGTGATGGAAGAAAACACTGCACCTGTAATGTAATCATTGGGACTTGGCTTTTACAGTATTTACATGTAGTTTCCCGATATTTACAGGTCTTTTCTACATGGTCTGGCAAGTCCTTCCGCAATATTTTCTCTCTGCAATCAGCACGGTGGCATGAAAGTTCTTCGAACTGACAGTCATTTCTCAAATGCATCTGTAAGATAAAACAATCAAGTTAATGACATTTTACATGTTTCTTCTTATCATACCCATGAAAGATAACTCTCCCAAAATAAACTCAGGACCAGAGTCTAATCTTAGATGTGCACCATGTTGTACCTCAGAACATCTGCTAAGGCTGTTGTGCATGACTACACAGTAATGGATTTACTGAGATACATACTTCTGAAGTTAGAATCTGACTCTCAGACGACTGCTATATTATGTCTTGAAGAGCCAAAATTTCAGATTATCTTAGATATTCAGAAGTACCAGAAGCGTCACAATTTCAAGTGTAAGTGGAAAAACCTTCATATTAGAGGCCCAAAACTGGTAACAATGAAATATCAAAAAGGAATTCAAACTAAAAAAGAAAGTATGTGAAATAGCAAAAAAAATAGCGCAGTGAAAAACCACTTACATATCAGCCTTCCCGATCTGCAAAGCAACTGCATGTTACAGGTTTTCCAAATGAGCATCTAAGATTTGTTCTTAAAGTCTAAACTTTATAGCCAAAAACTTTTCCAAATGGAGAGTCTAAAGTTTAGGCACCTAAATAAGTAGCCTGATTTTCATAGATACTAAGAACACAGGACTCCTACTGAAGGATTTTTAGGCACCCCAAACCGAAAATTTTGGCTATGACTAAGATTCTTTATGGATCAATTAAAAGTCAATCAATTAGAGTTTCAAAAAAACTATTTATGATCACTTCTATAAACAGTCAGATTAGCTCACATCACTGATTAATCAGGAAGTAGGTGGATTAAAATTGAATTCTGTAGATTTTCCCATTCTTTAATTTGAAAGAAAGCTTGTGATGGCATCACAGTACTTACCAGTAATTGTGCCAATGTTAGTAGTTCATTGCAGCCTTTGTTTTCATTTCTGCAATATATCTGAAGGGCAAGAAGCTCTCTCCTACAGCAGTTATCCTTAAATACCTGAAATTTGGAGTCACTTTGTTTTAGAGATTTAAAAACAGTTGAAGAACATAACTTCAAATAAAGTAAAAATACTTTTTAAAACAATCCCAAAATAGCAATATTAGTTCATTCAGGCTTTGAGTGCAGGGAGCTGACTGACACTGGAAACCAGAAAAAAAAATCCACACAATTCACAGACTGAGAGGCAGCCTAACAAAGAAAAAACAAATAGGGCCTGCCTCTTTTTTTTATTATTATTCTGTCTGGCATATGAAGAGGACTGAAAGCCTTCCCACACTTCCACTTTTTGAATTTTAAATATTTTTCTGATTGTTTCTCACATTGGACCAATTTCTGTTGGTGAGAGAGACAAGAGCTCTGTGTAAGCTCGAAAGCTTGTCTCTCTCACCTACAGAAGTCACTCGTGGCTGGGGGAAAGACTAGGGGTAAAACAAAGTTTCGCAAATGAGGAAAGAACAGAGTGATTAACACAGAATAAAAAAGAGCATCCTATATGTAGTAACAAAGCATACATCAGAGCACAGCATGCCCAGTAATAAAAATAGATATACCAAGACAGCGAGTAAATAGTTCCCAGTTAGAAAGACCACAAAGGATTGAAGTGAGTTGTAGAAAACTGAAGAGAGAGAACAGCAATAATCAGACAGGTACTTATCTATTTAGATATTTATATGTTCCTAAACCATAGTATCCAAGTAAACACTATTCTTTTTCTTCCTTCCTATTCTATTGAAGATATAGCTTCATTAGTGTGTCCATATATAGAACATATGAGTACATGGGCTTTGTTAAAGAGAGGACTTTTGCATTTAGTTCTTAACCCAGCGATGTCAGTGGTCTTTCCTATCTTTTACAGGTATGAGTTCCACAGCTTAGGCTGGCTCCTGTGAAAGGTCAGTATCTTGCAAGCCTCTACTTATTGGGCAACAGTTTCATTCCCAGTGGAACATCTCAGCTATCAGGAACAATTCCATCAAGGGCTTGGAACATCAATACAGAGACAGTGAAGTGAACTCTGTATTCACTTGGAAGACAGGGCAGAAAGAAAACAGCAGAGTAACATGCTCCCAGCAATCTGAATTAATACAAGAGGTTGCTACACTGTATGCTACGGATACTATTTTTAAAAAAGAAAAGAAAACTGGGTGTGGCTTCATTCCTAGATACAAGTTGCAATACAGCAGGTCTGGAGATCATGAATACATGGATAATTATGGTTAGTTCTGCGTCCAATAGGAAAGAGTACAATCTTTTAGTCAGTTGCAGTTTGCCAACACCTCTGGCTACTTTACTGGGAAAGCAAGCTTATAATGCTGTCAGTACTGCAGAGATAACATACAATAGTAGAACTTCAGAGTTACCAGAATTATGAACTGACCGGTCAATCACACCCCTTATTTGGAACTGGAAGTATGCAATCAAGCAGCAGCAGAGAGAAGACCAGAACAAAAAAAAAAGAAAGAAAGAAAATACAGTACAGTGCTCTGTTAAATGTAAACTACTAAAAATATAAAGGGAAAGCTGCATTTTTCTTCTGCATAGTAAAGTTTCAAAGCTGCATTGAGTCAATGTTCAGTTGTAAACTTTTGAAAGAGCAACCATAATGTTTTGTTCAGAGTTCTGAACATTTCAGGGTTATGAACAACCTCCATTCCCAAGGTGTTTGTAACTTTGACGTTCTACTGTAGTTGCATGAGAATTATTTCGCCTACTGCAACAGTAATAAAATTAAAGCAAAATTCGGATCACAGAATCTTCACTGCGATAGGGAGATGAAGCAAAAAGATTTTTGTATGCTTTTCGGACACCGGGTTAAGTTTAATGAGCTGGCACTTTTTCCTCACACAAATCTATGTAACATGGATTTTTGTAATTTTTTTCCAAAATAATTCATAAACAATTTAAAGAGGCTGTAGTTTTGCATATCATAATAAAGATAATGGAAAGAGATTTTTGAATAATTTTACAAGATGTTTCGACAGTTCTGTAAAACCTTTGGGCCGTTCCATTTTGTGAAAGCAGAAGTTCGTGTGGAATTTCAGTTTTACAGAAAATAGTCATGACTTCCACAGTAAGTCTGGTATGTGTTCAATAATCCACGTTCTCCTTAGTTTCCTCCCCCTGTGCTGGTAGGAAAAGTTGAAGGTACCAGCATATGTAGCCAGGTTTCCCAGCATATATAGCCAGGTGTCTGTCTGTCTGGGGTTTTTTAGGTGGAAGAGGTAAGGGGGAATGTTACCTTAAGGTGATGACCTGGCTGGACATTTTTATTATTATTATAAATTATCTGCTTGATAGCAGCAACTAGGAACCCCAGCACGGCAACCACATCAGAGCTCCATTGTGCTTGGCACTGTTCGGAGAAGTAACAACAGATGACAATCCCTGCCCCAGACACCTCATAATCTCTATGGTACACAAAACAAAATGACTGTAGGGATGAGGTAACAAGATGAACTGAGTCTTGCACAAAAGCTATTTTTAAAATAAAAAATAAAAATCTGATTTAACTTATAGATACAGGAAATTGGATATAGAGGTCATTAAATGGGAGGAATGCCACTGCAGAAGACCTAAACCTAAGTGCAACAGATGTGTTTCTACTAAGGGGTCGCAGTGATAGGAAGATACCCTGTATAGCTAGCTACACTGTCTACAACACAGCACTCTGCAGAGCTCTCTGCATCCTGGAAGAGAACAATTTTGTGAAAAGGCTACGGAGAGACTGATATATCCAACATCTCTCTCTTGAGAGTAAGGGAGTACCTACATCAGCATAGAACTCATCTCAAAGCTTTGATAATCAAGGTGTCGGAACTGAATAAACGGTAATTACTATTCAAAAAGAACTTTCTTTTACACTGATGAAAAATTACGTAGTCAATAACCTGTTTAAAGTGTGGGTGAAAAAATGGAAAAAAGGATCTCAATGAAATAACCTGTGCACATAAAGCAGTGGTCTCCAACCTTTTTACGCACAAGATCACTTTTTGAATTTAAGATCAATCCAGGATCTACCCCGCCCCTTTCCCCAAAGCGCCATCCCATTCACTCCATTCCCCGCTCCCTCTGTCACTCGCTATCCCCCACCCTCACTCACTTTCACCAGGCTGGGGCAGGGGTGCGGGAGGGAGTGTAGGCTCTGGGCTAGGGCCGAGGGGTTCAGAGTGTGGGAGGGGCTCTTGGCTGAGCCTGGGGCAGGGGGTTGGAGTGCAGGAATGAGGGGGGTACGTTCTGGGAGGAAGTTTGGGTGCAGGGGCCATTTGGTCACACTGCACCTAATCTCATAGAATCCACTGGACATTTCATGAGTTTTACTTTTTACTTGCGTCATTTGTGGTTTACAGATCCAAAATCCTTCAGAGATTGTCATAAATCAGTGTAACATTCTCAATTGTGGGGTATGCATTGGTTGAGCCTGGGGCAGGGGGTGGGGTGCAAGTTCTGGGAGGGAGTTTGGGTGCAGGAGGGGACACCAGGCTAGGGCAGAGTGTTGGGGTGCAAAAGGGGGTGAGGGGTGTGGGCTCTGGGAGGGAGTTTGGGTGCAAGAGGGAACTCCGAGCTGTGGCAGAGTGTTGGCGTGCAGGAGGGGGTGAGGGGTGTGGGAAGGAGTTTGGATGCAGGAGGGGGCTCTGGGCTGGGGCAGGGGAGGGGGTGCGAGGTGCAGGCTCTGGCCGGGAGATGCTTACCACAGACAACTCCTGGTAGGTGGTGCAGCGGGGCTCAGGCAGGCTTCCTGCCTGTTTTGGCCCCATGCTGCTCCCAGAAGCACCCCCGGGCGGGGTGCGGGGAGGTGGCTCTGTGTGCTGTCCCCGCCCCCAGCACCATCCCTGCAGCTCGGTTCCCAGCCAATAAGAGCTGCAGGGGCAGTGCTTGTGAGCGCGGGCAGCACATGGAGACCCGCTGCCCCCCTCCCCTCCAGGGGCTGCAGAGACATGCCAGCAGCCAGTCACTTCTGGGAGCGGTGTGGGGCCACGGCGGGCCTGAGCCCCGCTGCGCCAGACCAAGATCAGCTCCTCGACTGATTCACCTGGAGTGGCACTCGGGTGAGCTCGGAGGAACTCGGGGCCATTCGGTCAGGATCAGAGACGACTTTTAGCTGCCTGGAGATCGTGATCGAATGGCAGAGGCTCCAGGATCGACCAGCATAAAGGCTTCCAATCCTGTATGGTTACTACTTTAGCATGCTGTAAGACATACGAGGCTCAAGTTGTACAATAAAATTTTTTCCCAAGACAGAGCATTATAGCGCTTTAAAAAAAAAAAAGATTTCTGCAAAGTAGAAAAAACACATTTTAAATAAATCATAGCAATTGAATATTAGGAATAAGAGACTATTTTAACAACAATACCTTATCTTTAACTATGTTCTCTTGACACGCTGTACATTTTGGATTAGAAGAACTGGAGAGAAAAAATAGACAAATTATTTTCTATCCCACTTTGAATTTTCTGTATTTATCAGATTTTAGATTGGTGCTAGTAAACCAAAGGCGTCTTGTTTAATTATAATTGCTCAAAGTATTTAAAAATATTAATGATTAAGAAAGTATAGCTCAATGAAAGTTAGTATAGAATCAAATGGAACAAATACTGCTAACATTAAAGAAAACAAAATATAAAATAATCCTTTAAGAGAATTTGAAAACTGAGTAAATAGTTGTAAGTGGAAGTTGAATTCAATGGAATTCTTTTTTAACTATTAAAAAAACTGTATTTAATAGCAACATAAAATGAAGTACAGACTTCCTTTGCCAGGATTTTTCTTCTTTCTTGTTGTGATAGTCCTGAATATAGTCATTTTAAACATCTACTTATTTCTTCATAAGATACAAAGATCAATTTAGATGCGTTTATACACCATAAATTATGGGAACAATATGAACAGCCATAATGGATGAAACCATTGGTCCATTCAGCCTGGGGGACTGTACCTGGCATTCCAAAGGAAGGAAAAAAGAAAACAACCACCACCATAATGCTTCCAGCCAATTGTTCAATGCTTTACATGGAAAAAATAACATCCATTCTTAACTTCTACAGCAGGGCTTTGGGCTGTGCTCCGGCTCCGCTCCCGCTCCAGGCAAAAACCTGCAGCTCCACTGCTCCGGAGCTGCTCCGCGCTCCAGCTCCGGGCTCCGCTCCAAAGCCCTGTTTTACAGCACGCCTGATCCAGCAGCTCTGGTTACCTCTCAGTATTTCAGCATGCATAGACAAAACGATTATTAGTGTCTATTACATACCTAGCTCTTTTTAAAAAGCCAGGCATAATTTGACTCAATCTCCTATGTCAGTAAATTCTACAGCATGATTATATAGGCCATGAAATATTATTTAAAGGAAACCTAAATTTACCTCACATCCCTCCCCCCCGCCGCGCGCGCACACACACACACACACTTCTCCCAGTAATTTTCCCTCGATTATTAATCCCTATTCCATCCCTTATTTGTACAGTTGCTTTATTTGTGCTTGGATTGTAATCTCTTGTAGAACAGGTAAATTATTCTATTTTTATAAAGTGACTTGTACAGTATAAATAAGTTATTGCTGTTAATAATATTATGGGTCGCTAAAGGAATGACTGATCAACTGTTGCTGTCATTCAGGTTGAATATTCCAATCAAATCCCACCCCGTCCCAATTAACTAATCCTACTCCTTGTAATTGCACATGGTATGTAAATCTCAACATGCTTCTGAGTATCTTCATTGCCTCACAGCTTCAATATCGTCAATATTTTTCTTAAGGCGAGGTGAACAAAATTGGAGACGGTATTCCACATGAGGGTATATACGGTGTGATACAAGGTCATCATTTTCTAGCTTTTATTGAATGCACTCAAGCATCCTATTTGCTCTTTTAAACTACTGCTGCATACTGAGCAGATAGCTTCACTGAAGTTTCTCCTCAGATGACCCTGAGAGTGCACAGCTCACTAGCATATAATCAGTGTGTACTTAACTGTATGTTGACAGTGGATGTGAAATATTTGTAACTAATATCTGTTATTAACCACAGACGACTGCTTCCTAAAAATGTATATTCAGAAAAATTACTAGATTTCTTAGCACAAACAGCAATTTATCAGAAAATAATATATGTATCACAACAACTCTTTTTCCTATTATAAATTTGATGCACTGAATAGGAGAGAGAAAAGGATTTGTTACTTAAATGTATCTAACTCCATTAGCCCTGCACACTCAACCTCTGAAACAAGGCTATATTTCCACAATGAAATATAGTCTGTTGCATACACCGAGCCAGAATAGTTATGGGGAATAAGTAGAGGGAAGAAAACTCCCAAATTCTATTTCTGCTCCATTCCTGGTGAAGGGGGTGGCCTGGGGCAACTCACTTCTTTCCTCTGCTGCAAGTTTCCCATCAATAAAAAGAGGATATTACTAAATATCTACCCAACAGGTATGCTCCTCGGATTAAAGTTTGTGCAATATTTTGAACATGCTAAGTGCTATGCATTTATCGTTATTTCAAAACTCGAACTAACGTGTACCGAATACCATCAGCAGCAACGTATCAGAGATGAGATGCAAATGAAACATATTTAAATTGTCAGGTATTACTAAAAAGCTAGATTTTTACTTTTAAAAATAACAGCTGCATTTTTATTCTCATGTTACCATGAATAGTTGCATAACTCAGCATTCTTATGAAAAAATAAACTATTAAATTAATTTGTTATTTTGCACTCTTTATCTCAGGCCCTATAATCTTTAAATTGCTAAAAAAAATTTACATGCAAGACAAGATGGAAAAATAAGACATTTGTTTAACCTGAATTTTCAATCGTATTAACATTTTTAACACAGTAAGAAACACGTACCTTAACAATGCATTAATGCAGGTTTCACAGAATCTGTGGCCACATTCCGTCTGTTTAGGATTGCACAATATGAGATGACACTTTTCACATTTATATTTGTCCTCCACTGTGTTTACAAATTTCTCTTTGTAACCGCCTTGTTCTGGAACATAAATTGATCCTGGAGTGTGATCAGGGTTCGCCCTTTGTTGTACCATTTCTACAGACACAGGGGGTTCTGTCTTTTTACTGGTGTCCATATTGTAATAGGTAATTTCTGTGAAAGAAAAAAAAAGCATAAGGCATAGCGCTCTACAGCTCTAACAATAACTCATCAGTGTATATAGGCATACACATACTTTCATCTTTCTACAAACATTTGTAATAGCTGTAAAAAAATGTTTAGTTTCTCTATACACATTTACATACACAAATATAAAAATGCAGGTGCACATATGAACATAGATAGGCAAAGTTAGCATATTTGCATAAAATATTAAAATGTGGTAAATTTGTAAAAATATTGTTCCTTTTTCAAGGGCTCTAAAAGGCTAAGAGCCAAATACTGGTCTTGTGAGCAAAACCTTAATTACCTGTGGAAAACACGCTGGGATTTGTGCAGAGGGAGTAGTGAAAGACACACATTCCTCCTTTCATTCTGCCAGAAATGTCCCCAGTACCTGCACTGCTAGGCCACAAGCACCACTACTGGCTGCGGCAAGAAGCAGCAGATGCAGTCTGCCTCTGCCCTCAGTGTAGGAGTTTGGGAACAGTGGATCCACAATGTGCATAGAACCACTTGGCCACATCCTTGGCCCATCAACATTACTCCTCTCTGATGAGCAGCACCAGATCACAGCAGAGCTCTGCATCACACAGCACAGGGCTCATGGAGTGGACTCCTCCATTGTTCTGGCTTTTCTGTTGCATTTTAGGCCATGGCTACACTCAAAACCTCAAACCACGGGA